GCTCAAGGTTTCTGCAGTTCGCACAAATTATCGCAGTTTGCTGCGTTCTTCATCGATCCACGAGCCGAGTGATCCACCGATAAGGCTAGAAATTTTCGTTTTTTTAAAAATATAGAGAAAAAAAGAGTGCTGGCGTCCTCACTTAAGAGGCTCATTAAGTCTTAAACTCATTAAAGAGTCCTAACATGTCACCACATATACAGCCACGGACGTTCACAACTGTATCAGCAACACCTAGACACCAGCGACAGCCGTTTCACAACGAAATATTTTTGTTGCGAATTCAAATTTGAACATCACATAAAGTAATGATCCAGCAGCAGGTTCACCTACAGCTACCTTGTTACGACTTTTGCCCGGTTCAAGCCACTGCGATTAAATTGGTTTCCATCAAAGTAATTTAGAAAAATTAAATCAACGGTCCCCAAATTTCTCGAAATGGCTCAGTCCCGGGCAGCGACGGGCGGTGTGTACAAAGGGCAGGGACGTAATCAACGCGAGCTGATGACTCGCACTTACTTGGAATTCCTCGTTCACGGAAAATAATTGCAATTTCCGATCCCAATCACGGCAAATTTTCAATGGTTTACCCGCCCCTTTCGGGGTAGGACAAGCACGTTGATTTTGCCAGTGTAGCGCGCGTGCAGCCCCGGACATCTAAGGGCATCACAGACCTGTTATTGCTCAATTTCTTTCGGCTGAACACCGCAAATCCCTCTAAGAAGCTGTATACACTAAGAGTATGTACCAGCTATTTAGTAGGTTAGAGTCTCGCTCGTTATCGGAATAAACCAGACAAATCACTCCACGAACTAAGAACGGCCATGCACCACCATCCACTGAATCATGAAAAAGCTATCAATCTGTCAATCCTCACAGTGTCCGGGCCGGGTGAGTTTCCCCGTGTTGAGTCAAATTAAGCCGCAGGCTCCACTCCTGGTGGTGCCCTTCCGTCAATTCCTTTAAGTTTCAGCTTTGCAACCATACTTCCCCCGGAACCGGAAGACTTTCGTTTCCGGGAAGCTCCCCACCAAGGCAATATAATTTCCATCGGCGGATCGCTAGTTGGCATCGTTTACGGTCAGAACTAGGGCGGTATCTGATCGCCTTCGAACCTCTGACTTTCGTTCTTGATTAATGAAGACATTCTTGGCAAATGCTTTCGCTGTAGTTTGTCTGGCCACGGTCCAAGAATTTCACCTCTCACGGGGCCATACAAATGCCCCCGTTTGTCTCTGTTAACCATTATCTCAGTCCGTAAAACCAATAAAACTGAACCGAAATCGTTTTCTATTATTCCATGCACGATCATTCAAGCGAAAACGCCTGTTTGAAGCACTCTGATTTGTTCAAAGTAAACTTGCAATGCCTGTTAAGAATCCTGTTAAGGACTCAAAACCGAACATTACGATAAATCGATAACACCCAGAAACACCCGGAGGGTTCCAGGGTACCGATACGAATCCAACTACGAGCTTTTTAACCGCAGCAATAATTCTATGTATTAGCAGAGCTGGAATTACCGCGGCTGCTGGCACCAGACTTGCCCTCTGCTTGATACTCGTTAAAGGGTTTAAATTGTACCCATTCCGATGACCGGCCTCAAAGAGAACGATCTCGTTATTTCTCGTCACTACCTCCTCGAGCCGAGAGTGGGTAATTTGCGCGCCTGCTGCCATCCTTAGACGTAGTGGCCATTTCTCAGGCCCCTTCTCCGGAGTCGAACCCTGATCCTCCGTTATCCGTCACCACCACGGGAGTCGATTATGCTCCCGTCAAGTTGATAAAGTGGACGCTTGAAAGACACGCCGCCGGCACAAGGCCATGCGGTCAGCTTAGTTATTCTGAGTCAACAAGAAGCAGCCGAAGCCGCGTGGTTTTGTTCTAATAAATGCGCTTTTCCGAGAGGACAAAGCTTTGGTGCATGTATTAGCTCTAGCTTTTCCACAGTTATCCATTTAGATAATCAAGATCAAGTAAATCATGGCCATTGTAATGAGCCGTTCGCGGTTTCTCGTTAAAACGATTAAACTTATACATGCATGGCTTAATCTTTGAAATGAACACATCAGTTCAGGCAGGATCAACCAGATATCTCAAATTTAGTTAAGATTCACTCAAGCTTTGAAGATAATGAATCTTACTAAAAAAGCGTCAAGCTGCACAATAAAATACTCGAGCACCGTCGGCGCCAGAACGACCACGAGGCGAAACAGATTTGGTCTCACAACCAATCTCGGGTCACTTGCTAGCTTTACGAGACACTTAAAAAGTGTGCATCGAACCGACCGATTTCTCATCTCGCCAATTCCGCAATGGAATCGGCTAAAATTCATATCCTTCAACGAGGACGCTTAGTCTCAACACAAAATCTCAACTTTTTACTTCACCAATCAGCCAAAAGGCTACATTTAGTTTCATTTTTTCTCTTTCATCGAGATTCAACCGTTAAGCATTTTTCAACAGGGAATTTCAAATTGTTCCCTTATGGAATAAGATTTGCGCTTAAGTGTGAAAATTTCTCACGATTTCGCGCCGCAAGGGATTTTAAGATTGCGATTTTGTATAAATACGTCCTCAAATCATCTGTAGCCCATTTTAATCATTACAAATCGATTTAAAACGGTTAAAAATCAAAGTAGAACATTTGAGTCTTCAGATAGCACCATAAACATGTTGATTGGATGATAAGAATTTGCATCAAAAGGCGCCAAGAAACCCGGAAGGACTTGAGATCTGCTAAGTCGAGAATTATTTATTTTCCTATACATTTTTCCTTTCCATTTTCCTCAGCAACAACCACTTTAATTTCCATTTCCGCCAGCACACAGCCACTTTTACAATTGTACTCAACAAACAACCACTTTTTAATATAATATGAGTCGAGGCGAAAAGAGAAATGGACCAAATGCAACCTCAAGCTATGCGCTATCAAGAGAAAAATAAATAGAAAGAGAATTAGGCAAGAAAGAAAACAAAAAGTGGTCGTAGAATTAGTAAAAGTGGTTGTTTAAATAGTATTAGTAATTTAATAGTAGTACACAATAAATTATTGAAAGATTTTTTTGAAAAATTTGGGCATGACCCCTTCGCACAGACATTAAATGTGAATTTTTATTAATAGGAAAAAACCGGCATGACCCCTCCACACATTGCAGTATCGTTTTTTACATTAATTGTAATATGTATTTATACTTTTTCTGTAATTTAGTAAATGTTTTTAACCGTGCTTAACCATTGTTATATAATTTTATGAAATATGTAATTCTTTAAATGTATATGCGATAATGTATTTAATTAATGTATTTATATTTGTATATACTGTATATGTTTTTGCATGTGTGATCTCCTTCAAACTGATAGCCTCGCTGTTCAAGCTCTCCTGCTCTGATATAAAACTACGACAGTATATTCATATGTTCTTTTTGTATGTTTTTTCCTGTATTTTTTCCTGTATTTAAGTATTTTTGATTTTGTTATATTTATTGTTTTTAGTGTATTTATTGTGTATTTGTTTGCATAATCTGAATATACATATTGCTATTATTGTTTGTTTCGTATTTAATTCCTTAAGTTCTTAATTAAATAGTATCCATGTACCCAAAACAAATGAAAATCCAAATACTAACTACAATTAGAATGTACTGTTTAGATGCACTAGGTCCTTAGAACTCATCTTCGAAGTCAGCATACTGACAAGGGAACACCTCGAATTATAACCAAAAATTGAGATGTATCATACACCATTGTGTAGAGCATGGTCGATAACCTATTGCAAATTTTTTTTACCACTGACCCCGAAATTAAAAAGTTATCAAACTTCAAAGTTTCCCTCGCATTTCTTATTAAAGAGAAAATACTCTTTTTCGCCTATTGAAGAACAATGTCCACCACTGCTCCATCTAATGCGGATTAAAAAAAGGAAAGAGGGCAGAGACGCCTTTCCCCTTCCTTTTCCCCCTATTCTTTTTCTCCTTCTTTAACCAACATGGAAAAAGAAGAGGAAAGGAAAAAAGGAAAAAGAGAGTCACAATTACCGCTATATTAAAAAATGATGGGACTCAGCTAATCCGAAAGTCGAAAATTTTGAAGCACTATAACTTTTCGATTTGGGAGGCAGGGCCAAAAAAGCCAACAATTGGCAATGGATTATCGACACTGCTTTAACAATTGCGTATTTACTTTGGTTTTACAGATTAGTTCGCAGTGTTCCCTTTAAGTATGCTGACTTCGAAGATGAGTTCAAACTTATAAACATCAATCGGCAAAAACCTGAATACATTTTTCACACTTTTCACCCTTTCTAGTGGTTTGTAGCTAATCGCAAATAATTAGGTAATCCATGACGTCAACACCCAAATTTTTCTCCCTTTCCCCTTGATCTTTTGTATTGTGCAGAAAAGGAAGAATTAGAGTAATCCGAAATGTCACTACTCAAATTCTTCTCCCTTTCTATTTGAAGTTTTGCTGGAGGAAAAAATTAGCACATGAAAATAATATTTTGGATTGTGCTAATATCTCGGATTGCCATTTTTTGTAAGGTTTCGATATAATATAATGTAAGGTTTCGATATAATATAAGACCCATGTATTCTTATACCCATACCACGAGCTGAGTCGAAGGAGATGCCTGTGGACCGAGATATAGGTCCCCGAAAATCGAAAAAACCATAGGAGGTGAAGTTTAGAAAGAGAAAAATTTCTTTTTAATAGGAAAAATGAGGGAGACTCGACCGCTCAAAAAGTCGAAAACTTAGAAGCCCTATAACTTTTTGATTTGATGGGTAGGGTCGAAAAAGAAAAAAACTGGCAATAAGAAATCGACCTTGCTCTAGCTGATGGTATAAAAATAATTTCGAAATTTTTGGTAACCCTCAAAAATATCGAACAGGCACTTTTTTCAGATTTTTTCTAGGACCAATGAAGTAAAAGATACCACATTTTGGATTAGCTAAAAAACATCTAGAACGGATTGAGGAAGAAGAGTTTTTCCACCTTTTAATTGCCAATTAATGTGAATATGAGTTTGAACTCATATTCACAACCAGCACAATTGATTACCTAATGTCAAACTAACCACGGTGAAGTTAGATAAGTCCAATAAATTAGGCGGAAACCGGTAATAGTGAAAATTACTGATCCCTAGAAAAAATAAGCAGAAAGTACGTTTTTGATATTGCTGATGCTTTGCAGTAAGTGGATTCGGGTTAAAAATCTGAAATTAAGATATACTAGACGTTCTTACTTATAAATACACGTTCGGAATAAAAGAAAATCCCCTATACAAATCAAGGCAATCCAGGAGAATTGGGGTCCCTGCGGGAAAAAATTTTAAATATAAGAAAAATGATTTTTCTAGGGTAAAAAAGTACGCTGATTACGAATCTGAACTCAGATTTTGAAAAAGTCGAATCCGAACCCGAATATAGGTCCTCGAATATCGAAAACCCATAGGGGGGACCAAGCTGATTTGGGGTGAAAAATTCGAATATGCAAATTATACCTCATTCGAAAGAGCTCTTCAAGCTGAGTCGAATGACACCGAAATTACCGTGATTGAACAAGATCGGACGAAGTTATACCACAATAAACAAACAACGTAAACCTACGTTTTTTGTCTCATAACTTCGCCCGATCTTGATCAATCACAGTGATTTTGGTGTCATTCGACTCAGCTCGTCTAGCTCTTTCGAATGAGATATTATTTGACCAATTTACGCTCTGTTTATTTTTCGAAATTTTTCCCAAAATGTCAAATGTCCGAATTTCGGGTTCGGGATTCGACTTTTCCAAAATCCGAGTTCAGATTCGTAATCAGCATATTTTTTACCCTAGAAAAATCCTTTTTCTTATTTTTAAGATTTTTTTCCGCAGGGACCCCAATTCTCCTGGATTGCCCAAATCAATACACAGAATTTCGTTGAAAGGTGTCGAAACATAGTTTTTCAGGTTAGCACTACACTTTTAATTTCCGAATACCAAACCGCTTTTGACCTGACCAAATTTGTGTCCGGGTTGTGTTTTTTGTGTGACCAAATTTGTGTTCGAAATAAAATTTTAGTTTATATTCGCATCATGTCAGTATACTCAATCCACCTACTGGGAAACCTCAAAAATATCGAAAAAGCATTTCCTAATTTTTTCTGGGATGAGTAATCCTCACTATTACCTGGAACTCTTAACACCAATCAGAGGAAACCTCTACTCAATTTTTCCATAACCCAAGAAAATATAAAAATAAAACTTGCGAAATACCAACAACAGCAGCGGAGAAAGCAGTTGATGTTGCGTAGTTACAGTAAAGAGCATTTGAAGTTTTTCTCATCATTACCCAAATGTGAAAAAGTAATGTACTAAAAAACAAATTTGAATATAAAATCGGGCAAAAACTTTAAAAAATTCCCTGAAAATTTTCTTAGCTGCGGGCGTATAAACAATTTTCATGGAATGCCCGGGAAGCCCCCTACTTCTTTGGAACCACCAGGGACTCATACATGTGAATACGTTATTCTAAAAACGGGACAGCAGTTTAGCACAAAACTTTCCCCAAAATGAAATGAGAGGGTAAACGCTGCGCCGATGTGCAACGGCTCGAGTCTAATTAAAAGCAGCGGGTAACTTTTTGAACCCTCACCGGAGGAAGGTACAAACTTATTCAACGTTTCCTATCCTAGCTATAATAACAGACGAACTAAAACATCTGCAGTTATAACTAAAACATCCCATTAATGCTGGAACAAAAAAGCCCAACCCCCCCCCCCCCCCAGAATCTGTCCACAGAAAAAACTGAGCAGTGCTTTTTTGATATTTCGAGGTTTGCCATTAGGAAATCAGTGTATGTAATGAGTCCGAATATGATCTTAGAATTTAACAATTTCAAGTCCCAGAGATAAATTAGACCCTGTTAATTTCAGTTCAACAATTAAGATCAATTTAACACTTCTCTTCGATTTTAGTTGGTCAAAATTGCTAGAGTATCCTAACGGAGGATCCCGGATCATTTGAAGGATTTTTCTAAACCCGTGATTGACTCATCAAACCAGACTACTGGTAAACCTCAAAAACACCGAACAAGCACATTTTGCTCATTTTTCTAGTGACCAGATTCTTCACTTATACCCAAAATTAAAAAATTAAAAGAAAACCTTGCAGATTGTTTATCAATATTTCATCCATCATATCACGCATGTTGCACATCTTATGCGGACACATTAAAATCTTGACAAAATCTGGTACATCAAAATACATTCATATCAAATTGAAGGGAGGAGTAGGAATAAATTTTTGAAAATTTTGAACTCTAAAAATGTAAAAAAATAAGAGATTAATCAAATTGTTATGAAAAAGGAAGTAGGATGCCCCGAACCAAAGACGCAGATTATTGATTTGAAACCCCATGACAAGACAGAAAGTTGGGCAGTTATTTACAGAAATGGAAAAGGAGTGAAATTATGAAATTGAAAAAGAGAGGCACACAAAGAAAAACTCTAATTCTCTGTGTTATAACTATCTCTAAAATAAACGCTATGCCAATGCTTATAATTTAAATTCAAAAAAAGTGTCTAACAAATCAATTACTTCAAAACATCTACAGACAAAAAGGAACTACATTGTACTTATTAAGTCTCGTTAACCTTTAGTTTGTTTTCGGGAGTTCGAACTTTAGGACTGGAAACGTTAGAGAATAACCATAAAAAACAATTTTGGGTAGGTAAACTGTGAATATTAGACTTGAAAAATGTCGTATTCTAATTGCAATGAGAAATGAAAAATTTCAAATCTATTGATTACATGAAAGATTGATGAGAGGCAAAACGGGGGACTTCCATCAACGAGTGAAGTTGTTCATAAAAGCTTAGGTTCGTCTGGAGGCAGACTGGTGGGTGTACCACGCCCGGAACACTAGAGACGTCCGAGACCGAAAATTTTCAATTACTCGAGACCAAGACCGGAAAAAACCCAAGAAAAGTCTCGGACGTCTCTAGAAATCCATGCGGACATTAAAAAAACATCGTTCACTTTCACAGATAATAAAAAATCGATTTATATCGATAAGCCGTCAAACAAAATTCATCTCTAATCCATTCAAAAGAAAGTTTTTTTGAATGGATTTTTTTCGAAAATATATTTATACTTGTATAAACACAACAATTTTTAAAACCAGAAAAACATCAACAACAAAAATATTTATTTTTCTCTAATTAATCCATATCATCACCCTCCTTAGCCGTATTTGTCTCCTTCAATTCCTCCATTTCTGTATTCAAAGCAATTGTAATTGTTTCTTCTACCAAATCTAATTCCATCTTTTTCAAATCTTTTCCACCTCTCAAAGCTAATTTTTCTTCTCTTTCTTCAATATCATAATTTTGGGAACGTTGTCGAATTTCTTTGAATAAAGCCAATGCACTTTGACGAAGTTCAATAATTTCCTTAAAAAATTTTTTAATGACAGAAATTTGTGTTTTTCAAGGATTGTTTTGACTAGACACAAGCCTATAAAAATGTGACTTACTATTTTTGTAACAGACAAAACTTTAAATTAATCTAAATGCATGGTCAGTCTGGCACACATATAGTAGTACGGAAACCGGGTATTTTAATAAAATCTGTGTGTTTCGAAGTTGCCAAGGTTCTAACCCAGCAATCTCGGCTCCGGTAAATTTAGAAGAAAACCCTGGATAATGGGCCCATCACGTCAAATTGGACTAGATCCGATTTTAAACAAAAGCCTAGAGGTTTGCCTATCCTCATAGTCAGTAACTCTCAAAGGCTTAAAGCTTAATACAAGTTTACTATTTTTCCTTCACACAAACGACAAAAAACAAGAAAACTTTTTCCTTTTTACCTTAGACACTTTAAGTAATTCCCTCTTATCTTCTTCCTCAAATTGCTGTGATTTTTGTTTTAAAGTCTTTCTAATTTCTTTAAGTTTTTGTTCACTTAATTGAATTGGTGGACGAGGTCTCCATCTAAATTGCAACAAAGAATCAACAATTTTTCGCAAAATTTCTCTTCCAAGAAATGTATAGATTCGATAACCAGTTTCGTAACGACTTTTGCCTCCAAATGAACAAATTGCTAAATAACGTCCTGTTGGGTCCCAAAATGCCTTAAAAAATTGTTAAATAAGAATTTAAAGATTTTTAGGAACGGTTGAATAAATAAAATTAAAAGCAAAGACAAAATAGTGTCTAATCCAAGGAAAAAATGGAGAAAATAAAAAATTAAATTTGAATTTAACAAAAAAATCAGAAAATGATCGAAAATAAAATTGACACAAAAATTAAACACCAAAATGTTCTGATTTTTTCTTGGACCACAGGGACCCCTCTCCCGAAGTTCCTGAATATGTTATTAATGGGGTCTATTCAACTTATTCTAAAAAATATTTCGAGGACATAAAACTTATTTCCTAACAAATTTATAAAAGGGGAAGCCGACCTTCTTGCAAGTTATTAACAGCCGCTTTTACACAATAACTGAGATACCATGGGGATTTCACTTTTCTTTTAATATAGATCCTAAACCCCACCTAGAAGACTTTTAAATACTAACAAGCCAGCTGGATCTTCCTTTTCGCCACATAATTAAAAATTTTAGTAAAATCTTTCTTCTAACCTGGATTACCAAAAAGAAGAGATAGAAAAATCCAATCCCCCCTCCCAACAACAATAAACAAACCTTTGTTAACGATGGATGTTCAATTGACCGAATTCTATTAGCTTCTGTCGTCCCACTAGCATCAATAAAATAAACTAAACCTCCAGGAGTACTTGCCCCATAAACAATTAACCAGCCACCTTGAGGGGCCCAAGATATTGAATTTAAATTCGTTCCAGATTCAATTTTTGATAAAAGTTGGGGGGCAGGTTTGCCTTTGTCATAACGATAAATTAATGGAGTTATTTTTGGTGAAGTTGAACCGACTAGAACGCAAAATTTATTTCCTGAAAATTGAAAAACGAAATACTTTTAATTTTTTAAAATTTTGAATAAAAAAATTAGATATGTAGTGGTCGTTTGTGAAAGTGAGTGAGGTCGTTGGCTTTCTAGAAAAAAAAACATTTCTATACTCTTGGTTATTTTTGGAAGGTCAAGAATGCCTTTCCTTCCTAGGAAGGAAGGCCGTTTCCTTTCTAGCACAACAGGCTGACCCCTCACCCGGAGTTCCAAGAAAAACTATTTCTAGGATTTATTTCCTAACAAATTTATAAAATAAAAACAAAAACCTTTAGGTTCCCAATCAAAATTTAAAAAAGGTTCGGGCAGTTGTAATGTCAACACAGAAATTGTTTTTTCAGTACAATCAAAAATTTCTAAATGGGATGTTACACCCTAAAAATATAAAATAAACAAAAAAATATACATAGAGGATTTGAAGGTTTAATTAATTTTGCTTTCATATTTTTGGAGGAAAGAGGAGAAAAGAAAAAATTGGATGATCAGCCTAGACAAGTCCCCACAAATTTAAAAAAAAAGAGGTCTAAAAATTTAGAGACGTCTTGGAATCCAGACTTTTTTTTAAATAATTCCCCCAAAAAATCCAAACCGAATATTTTATTTCTGCAGGTTTATTAACATCTTCCTTATTTTTAACCATTTTTTGATAACGTTCAGTGTGTGCAGCCAAATATAATCCACTCTTTTGCCAAAAAATATTTACTTGAAAAACTCCAAAAATTCTTTGTGCTCGAAGTTTGGTACGTGAAGGAATTTCCATTATTCCAATTTCTGCTGGCCTATTAGTAGCATTTGACTAGAAAAGAAAAATTTGAGAAAATGAGACAATTGATCCCAATTAAATTTACTGGATTCTTATAAAATTTAAAAATAGTTTTGAGGAATTCTGTTTATAAATTTCTACTCATGATTGTAGAACCGATTTGAGAATAAAAATTGGCAAGAGAAAGCTGGCCAGGAATTTAGTGACCGAGACTAAAAACGAAAATTCCTAATTAGAAAAAATATCGATCTCGATAACCGAGATTTTTGTTCGAGATTTCGTCTCGGTCTAGTCTCTACTCCCAATTCACAGCAGGGAAACAAGCTACCTAAAACCGAGGCTTTTTTCCGACCCGATCCAAACACAATTTTGAAGACCCGACTTTTCTCTCAACCCGTCCCATCCCAATCCACAGCGACTCTAAAGTTACAGAATTTTAATTAAAATTATTGGGAGTTAGACTTCCTCTAATTTGGTTGATTCTACTCATTCGGCGGGGTGTATCGAGTAACACCAAAATCGCTTTGACTATTTTTCAAGTTACGACCACCCCGCCGAATATCTAGAATCAACCAAATTAGGCAGACCAGCTCCCAAAAAATTTTTCAAAAAAAAAAATTCCAAACCTTTTCTTCACAATAATAAGCAATAATATTCTTTGTCGAATTAAAACTAAAATTAACCAATCCTTCCAATTCAACAGTTTTTCCATCGCATAATTTAAAATCTTCACAACTAAAAACATTTAAACATTCACTTGAAGCTCTAGAATAAGCAAAATATTTTTCATCAAAAGACCATTTAACAAAAGGCAAATTTAATTGTTTATTTGTTGTTGATGTTGAAGACATTTTTCCAAAAGGAGAAAATGTTCTTTTTAATTCTCCAGTAAATGCATCAAATATTTTAAACATTTCATTATCACGGCCATTTGTGTTACATGCATATGTGACCAAATAACTTTGAAAAAATAATTTTATATTTGGGAAAACGATGGGAAACAAGTAAAAAGTGAAGTATTTTGGACACAACAATTACGGATACCATAAGGAAAAATTGTTAATGGCAAAATAGGCACAACACATTTGATCCAAAAAACAAAACTTATAGGATCTATAACCACGGGATCCCTACCAGAGATGCACGAAAATGGAAACCTCGCTTTAAACGAAACGAAAAAATATTTTTAAAGAAGTACGAAACGCGAAAAAAATTATTTTTAAACAAAACACGAAACGAAAAATTTTCGTGCATCTCTGATCCACCAGGAATGCGCTGAAAGTGATTTTAAAAAAGAAACGGCGAACGACGAAACACCAAAAAAAAGTCAAAAATCGACAAAAGGCAAAAATGGCCCACCTTTGGTCCCTACCAGTTATGGTTTCCGAAAACCCGCACAAAAGTCGGTCAAGTGACTTTCACCTTTCCAAAATCCCCCCCTCTTTTTTTGAAAGAAATATCAATCTAATAAAAATTTAAAAAAAAATACCCTTCTTTAGGAGAAAATTCAATGTGTTTAACCCCTCCATGTTCAAAACGTTGAAATTGTTTAAATTCCTTTCCTCCCCAAAGAATAACCCCTCTAGCATGAAGAGATGCCAAATACGAACCATGAGGGGTCCATTTGAAAATACTGTCCTCTGACCAATTCTGAATTTGAGGAAATTTTTTAAAAAAATTTTTTAAAGATAAACCGTTCTCTGTTGAACAAGTATCGGATCCCCATTTTTAGCGTGTGTAAAAACTTCCAGTTGAAGACCACCATCATCTTCATATTGTATAGCAAATTGATCGAGGCATTTTGTATTTTGAAGCCACCACCAACGATCGCCCTTAAAAACAGAAAAAGTTTGACTAAAAATACAAAAAACAGCATTAACGAATTACCCTCCGGTACTATTGAACCGGACAGACTCCCTTCAATTTTCCCCTTATATTTTTGCAAAATGGTCAGACTTTTTCCTTTCTTCCATCCGAATTGCCTTTCTAATTTTTGGGTACAAGCAAACAAAAAAAATTATTTAATTTTATACAAGTGCAAGTACATGCCAAAAAAATAAAAGAAGGAAAAATATAGGGGAAATTTGGAAGGAAAAAGGGAATCGTCCGGTTCAATATTACTCATTATCCTCGCTCAAAGTCCGCAAATGTTTGTCCGCAAGCTTGTCTTGCCTCATCTCTTCCTTCATTTTTCCTTCATAAATGAAAAATGGTCGAGGAATAACTTGAATATGTAAGACAGTCTTTATAAGAAGGACATCACTTTTTAATCATTATAAGTAAGAAAAGAAGGAAGAAACCAAACAAACATTTGCAGACCTTAGGGCCATATAATGCTTAATGTTAGTAGTTTAAAAAACCCCAACCAAATCAACATAAGCACGCTTCTCCGGAACTTTCCAATTAGCACTAGGCTCCTTCAAATCCCTCAAAGCAGAAAACGGGTAAGACGAAAAAGTATGGTTCTTGTCAAGTTTGTAACCCTCACAAATTGATCTAACAGCATTTGCAGCTTCTTTATTTTCATATTCGAGGAAAACATAACCCTAAAAATTTGAAAGAAAATATAATTAAAAAAATATTTCCTTGGGTTTATTAAAGTAAAAGTTAACCTGAAAAAATGTAGAATAATAGGGAATAGGGAAATGTGATTAAAAAGAATAAGAGAAGAAAAAAGAATATTAAACTAGTAGGAAATCGATAAATTGTCTAACGGAGAAATGTAATTCAGTAACAAATTTTGATAAAAAATCTCTCGAATTACCCGGTTAGCGAAGGAAAGTTCAATAAGGAGCCTAACAAAAGTTAAGATTAACCCGAGAACAAAAACCTGGCGCTAAATAACAAAAAGATGGAGCATCCCTAAGATTTAAACAGAAAATAAGTTCTAAACGATTAAATTAGACTTGCTACTGGGCACCGACCTTTTTACAAACGTGGAGCCAGATATTCCCAAAAATAATCCCTTTTATATAATTCAATAAAGTAAAACAACGGGAGATACGGAATAAATAAAGGAGGCACCTAAAGCTTTTAAAGTTCCCTAAAAGTCAAAAAAAAATTAAAAAAAAACTCAAAAAAAACCTTCGTCTTTCCTTCCTCATTAAGCGGATAAAAATCATTAAATTTGTACATATTCTGCAAAGAAAACACTCCAGACAAAACTTTCTTCAATTTTTCAAGTCTGTCCTCTCCAACCGTCGGAATATTAAAAACCATAATACAACATTCTTCATAACGAGATTCTCTCGGTTCTTCATATAATAAATCTCCAACTAGATCTGTTATTTAAAAATAAAAAGTTAATAATTAAAAGAGGAAAGTAAACCTTTGTCGTCTACTTCTTCTCTAACTTGTTCAATAAAATAATTTAAATTATATTCAACTTGTGTCATCCTAAATTAGAAAAAAAAGAGAATTGTTAAATTAATTTAAATACGTTGAAAATTCAAAAAAAATAAAAAAAAAGAAGAAAACAGGAGACAGATTCACAAAATCGGTAATAGTGATTGAGATTTTTGAAAAGCATGGGCCTGTTCCTGGACTCTGGATTTGATTTCTTGACCTGGACCTGTTTCCTAGGCCTGTAGTCCAGGAAAAGCCCAGGCCCAGGAAAAACCCAATGAAGGTCAAAAAAATGCCTGGATCTGGACTCTGGGTACAGGAAAAACCCAGATCAGACCCAGCTCGATCACAAAATAGGTAATAAAAATTCCACAAAAATTCATTTTTTCAACTAAACATTCACAAAAAAATAAAAATGTTTTGTGTACTCTAATTTACAAAAAACACAATTTAAGACTAAAAATAGAGAAAAAATTAAAGAAATAGTGTATTAAATTAATAATTTATTTCTCTGTCATTTATACTAAATTAAGCCACTTTGTCGCGAAACATTTTATCGCAAAACTTAACTTGTCGAGTTCCGTCAATATTAACTCGATGACTATCGTTATTAAAAATTTTTTTCGATTTATGTTATCGAATAATACCTTCAATATGTGAAATATCTCATATTATTTCAAAAGTACTAAATCTGCGATAGGATTTACGACAAAATGGACTGTTTCCAATTTTTATTTTCTCTTTAACTGTCATGTCTATACTCTCTCCCTTTTACTTTTTCGAAACAAAAAAGACATTAGAGTCTAAACAGCCTTTTTAAAATTTTTTAAGCGTCTTTAGGGTCTAATTTGAGACTGTGATATGTTAATTCGGAGTTAGGTTTTTTGATTTGTTTTTGCTAGCGGGGTGGGGTGGCCGAAGTATAAAATATTATATTTAAATTATTTACATACATGTACAATAAAATAATTAAATTAATATAGGTTTATAAAATAAATTTATAAATCAAAATTTAGGATTATTTAGCATAATTCTCGGTGAATGTAGAGCTGAGGAAGTACCAGAGTCCACAGAACCCCCAGCTTCCGTTTCTTCTTGTTTGTGAGGGGAAAGCTCGAATTGCCGTAGTCCTGGGCGTAGAATACTGTAGGGAGGGGTTTCTTCACTTTCATCTTCTTTTCGGTGTTTTTGACATCCAAAGTGTGCTGTTAAGGCATTCCGTCTGTTGTTGGTTAGGGATGAATTTTGAGCCCATATTTTGGGTATTGCATTAACTAGAAAATTAAAGAGATTAAGAAGTGACTTAGTAAATATAGGCTAAAATGAGTAACAGAATCTCGATATAAGGGACATCTAGATTCCTCCCCCTTAACTCTAGGTTCTTTGTGATCTATGTATGTCTTCTTTTAATTAGGGTTGGTTAAACCTGTCTAAAACCAGTTACTTGACCAAAAAATCCCGTAACTTCCGGCCTGCCGGAACCTCCGGCGCAACACTATTGTTTATTACCAGTTTTACTCCCTACCCCCTATACACAATGTTCCCTTCACTCAATCTTTATCATTAACAGCAAAGGGGAGTTCTGCAAATCCACAAAAAATCCCTACCATGTAGAGCCATACTGTAACAACCACCAAACATTTTGTGTGATTTACCCTCTTCCCTTCCCTTACTATTATAGGAATATTCTTCACTAGCCAATCCAGATTCATTCAAATGTTTTATATTTTCTTCGTCTTCAAAATATTCATCCTCCCCATTTCTATAATGTTCATTTAATTTATTCCATTCTATTTCCGTTTTGGTGAGCCATGGATGTGTTAATAATTGTTCTAATGTTGGACGTGAAAATGGGTCGAAATTGAGACATTGAGTTAATAATTCGCGAGCTTCTGAAGTTTAAAAGATAAATTTAAGATCCAATCCACTTCTATACTTCCCCCTTCTCCTCCACTATTTTTCTTCATTTCATATCCCCTTTCAATTTATTTTCTCTACACCCTAGAGGGAGCAGGCCAACTTACTGAGAGCCCAACTTACCGCGCAGCTATAACTTCATTAAGAATTCTCGAATCCGGGACGCTTTGGTATGGTTCGATTCAGCTCGTCGAGGAGCATCGCACCATATCAGGGCGTCCCAGATTCGATAATTCTGAAAGAAGTTATAGCTGCGCGGTAAGTTGGGCTCGCGGTAAGTTGGGGTGTAGTCACCCTAGACCCCTCTCACACCCACAAGGGAGAGAATAATGAGGTCAATGAAATCCCCCTCACACACAATCTGTTTCATATTTCCTTCGCTACATATTCCATTTAGCTATGCTCCTTACATCCCACGTCCGTTCACCTCGTAAACTTGATCAAGGTATCAAATGTTCTCTTCACTCCAAATATTATTTAAAACTCTATACCTCTAGAAACGGGCACATAAAAAGGTAAAGGTCCAAGTAAATGTGAAGTACAAATATCCCTCTCATTTAGAAAAGGTAGCCTTCCATTCAACATATTATAAAGCAATACACCTAATGACCATACTGTTGCTTCTTGTCCCAAATAGAGAGAATGGAGAAACCATTCTGTTAAATGTTTTGATTAATTTAGACTTTTTGACAGCTTATTTTCATTTTTTCAATTTTCCATCTCTCATTTTATATTAATTTTGAGTGATGGAAGAGGAACTTGTATTTTGACCAGAAAATTTAATTATTTACGACTTTCTCGCAATTAAAATCAGACCTGGTAATGAACATGGATTTTGGTATCCATATCCGGATATTTACAGCGGATACAGTCGGATATCCGTAATCATTTTAAAATTATCTGTATCCGTATCCATTACGCATATCTGATTAAAATGATTGGGAAGACTTTAAGAGAACTTTAAGAAGGAAGAAAAATCATCCTCTAATAGGTCATCAGTTGTGGTGAGGTGGTGGTTAAAGTCCTCTAGCAACAATTGCCAGAAAGTACAAGTTCAATTCATGCCCTATGGTCTTTGTTTAATCTTACTCCTATTTATCACAAAATCATTTACCTGGAGGGCAATAAAGCCTCGTACTTTGAAAGTCTTGATAACGACTTTTCTTTAACAAAGTAGCAGCCCCAAAATCAATTAATTTAATTCTCCCAGTATTTAATTCCAACAAAATATTTTCGTCTTTAATATCTCTATGTAATACCAACAATTTTGAACAATCTAATATAGTTTTTACAATTTGGGAAAATAAATATTTAGCCAAGGATTCGTCCAAATATTTTTGTTGTTGAATAAAATCGAATAAATCTATACAGGGAGTTGGCCTTTCCATTACTAATAAATAGCCTTCTGGTAGTGAAAACCAGTCTAATAAGGTTATAACTCCTGATAGTTGATTACAACGTGTTAACATACTGAAAAAGAGAAGAGATTAATATAGTTAATACCTCAATATAGAAAACACTCAACACTAGTGACCGGTTGGAAGGGGTATTCTATGAAAATCGTATGAGATATCTCGAAAAATTTCTGAAGAAGCTGCCTGAACGGTACCCTCAATTTGGATACCTTTTTTCCTAAAAATTTGGTTGGTATTTGGACTTGGGAGCGATACCTCAATGTAAGATACACCTCATTATAAGAGACAATTTTTAGTCCCCGAGGGCAGATAATGAGGGCAGACTAGTGAATTAAAATCTCTAAAATCAAACCAAATTTCCATAGGAACCCGTTGTTCTGCCAAACGACCCCATTCACGGACATGTCGACGTTCGATGAATTTGACGGCTACAGGCAACATATCAGACTATTTTTAAAAAATATAATTTTTAAACTTTTTTTCATATTTCGAGTTTATAGGTTAATCCGTTAATTAATGTATCGTTATATAGGTTATTTTAAATAGAGGTCGAAGGGGCAGATTTGAAATTTGTAGTTAAATTATTTAATTCAGAAAAATTCCTTACCAATCTAACACCTTTGTAAACAATCCCAAACCCTCCCTGTCCAAGTTCTCCTTTTATTTTATACAAACGTTTAAATTTTATAAATCCTCTGCCTGTTAAAAGCTGCTTAAGTTGGTGTAATTGTTGGGAGGCTAATTTTTGCATTTTTCTAGCCAATACAGGTAAAGGCATTTTTAATTTAATTAAATATCTAGAATTACAAATTGTATAAGTAAATCAGAATAATTACTAAATTTAAATAAAATTACAAATCAGAATTAAAAAATAAAAATCAAATTAAATAAAAAATCAGAATTATAAACTAAACACGTAGCGAAAGTATAAACAACTGGAAAAATCAGAATTACAAATTGTAAACTAGAAAACAATAAAAATCAGAATTTAAAATACAATTAGAAATGTTCTGATTTGTAATTCAGATTTTTAAATAATTTTAAAGATCAGAATTACAAAATTAGAAAAACAGAATAAAAATCAGAATTTTGCAAATACAATTACAAAATGCACTAATTATTTAAAAATCAGAATTACAAATTACAAATCAGAAAAACACAATAAAAATCAGAATTTGTAAAGATCAGAATTACTAATCAGAATTACAAATCAGAATTAATAAATAACAATAAATAAATAATTACAAATCAGAACATTACTCAAAATTCAACTATATATAGGGTATTTATAATTGTAGTTTATTGATATTTATGATGAGATTATTAAACTACAATTATTAATCATAAAAATAAAATTAAATAACATTTTATTTTAAAAAATATTAAATAATGAGAGATCAACAAATTGATAAAATAAAATATTATTATTAATGTTACCCCAAAATTAAATTAATTTATCATTGTGAGGGCGAAATATGATTTTTAAAAAATTGATATTTGATATTTTTTTTTAATTAAAAATAAATTTTAAAAAATTATTTTTTCTCTTTCTCTCTTATAAATAATTAAAAATAAATTAAAAATCGAAAAGCCCCAACTATATATTTATAAAAACCACAAAAAAGAGCGCAAAATAAATAAAAAAATATTATTAAAAAGCTAGATCAACAACTAGCTACTTCTAAAAATATTAAAAAGAGAAGGGAAAGAGAGAATGATTGGTCAGTCAATAAATTAAAAAAATAGTCGTCTACTAAACACCTTGCGCTATCCAATTTCGTGTTTCTTTTTTTATTTATTCAAAGCTTTTTTTATTGTTTGACTTGATTTTCTATTTTTGTCATGTAAAACCGGACGGAAATATATTAAAAAATGATTTTCTATAGAGAAGAAAGTCTCAAGTTTAAAATAAAATCAGAATTACAATTAAAGAGAGAAGTTGAAAATATTAATTTACAATTGAGAAAATTAAAATCAGAATTTATATTTATACCGGATTTATTCTAATAGAACCACAGTGGTTCTATTTTTCAACCCTCCAATTTTGTGTGGTTATATTAGAGACTGTGGTTCAAATAGAGACTGTGGCTTTATTTTTCAATCTTTTTTTTTGAAAAATAGGAAAAGTATTGGGAATTTTCTTGCCATATTCTCCAAAAATAATTATAATTTTTAATCAATTTGTTGGTTTTAATCAATTTTTAAACGCCCAACTCGGTTTCTTTGTAGGAAAACGGGTAAATTTATCAAATACTCCTACCTCGTTGTTGTAATAAAGTCATAGAATTTGGGATGGAGGCATTATAAACGATATAGAAAATCTTATAATCCTTCACAATTCACTTTATCTCATCTTCCTCATAATCCCACGACACCCATAGCTCGCGTTAATTCTCCTACTATTATGTCATGGGCTTTCCTGGATTTGCTAAAGTTAATAAGATGTATTAGAAGGTTGATTGTGGTGAATAAGCGAAAGAGATTAGGAACTAGCCATACAGTATTAATCCAATTCGACTGATACTAGCTTTTTAATATTATAAATTGACATAATCTTCTGAATTCCTTATCTATCAATATCCCTAGTAATCTCTTAAATCTATATCAGTATTCCATTCACTTATTTAAAAGTATGAGAGATATGTGGTTATATTAGAGACTGTGGTTCAAATGGAGACTGTGGTTTTATTTTTCAACTCCTCCATTTGGTGTGGTTATATTAGAGACCGTGGTTCAAATAGAGACGTGTTTCTATTAGAATAAATCCGGTATTTTATAATTACAAATCAGAATTTACAATCAGAATAAAAATTAAATAAAAATCAAAATTAAAATCAGAATTATTAATCAGAATTTTTTAAATCAGAATTTTAACCCAATAAGATTATAAATTCAGAATTAAAAATTACAATCAGAATTTACATTTATATTAAATCAGAATTTACCACTATACCATTGAAAAATACCAATCAGAATAAAAATATAAATCAGAAATTCAAAAGAAATAAATTAAAAATACAATTAAAAAAATTCTTTCAACAGAATTTATTAAATTATATCAAAAAAACTTTTTAATTTTAAGTTTAATTTTTTGCCTGTTTTCAATTTACTGTTTAAAGTTTTTACTTAGTCATGGAAATAAATCATTTAATTTATTAATTCTCTAATTTTTTATTAGGGGAAAGTATGATTTTATTGTTGAAATGAACTGATAAGAGACAACAAAAGTATATATTTAATTAGTTTTATCTTTTTTATCAAATAGAAATTACAAATCAAAAAAAAGAGAGGGGTCAAAAAAGGCTATAAAATGTTATAAAGTTTGGAAATAAATAAAGACACATGTTCAAACAGAATACGAGAAAATTAAAAGAATATTAAAACTATATAAAAATTTATCAGAAATTGTAAATAGAAATTAAAAATTACAAATCAGAAAAAAATATGTACAAAATAAAAATACAAATCAGAATTGTAAAAGAAAATACAAATTAAAGAAATCAGAATTATCAAAAATAAAAATATAAATTAAAATCAGAATTACAAATCAAAATAAAAATACAAATTACAATCAGAATTACAAAATTAAAAATCAAAATTAAAATCACAAATCAGATTTACAAAATGAAAAATAAATACATATCGGAATTAAACAATCAAGATTACAAATCAGAAATTATAAAAATAAAATCAGAATTAAAAATGTTAAAAGAAATTACAAATATAAATTAAAAATCAGAATATTATAAAAATCAGAATTACAAATCAGAATTATGGATATAAGTTACAAATCAGAATTTAAAAAATAAATTAAAAATTCTGATAAATTACAATCAGAATTACAAATCAATTAAAAATATTATTAAAAATCAGAATTAAAATTTACAAATCAGAATTACAAAAGAATTTATATATTCTTGTTGCTATTTTGGTATGCAAACGTGACAGAATTTGTGTGTGACACTTTGTGCTGCTAATTAGTGATTAATTGTCATAAATTGAGAATTACATTTTCCCCGTAGATTTGCTACATTTTACCTTTAAATAAAATATTTCCACGCATATTTTTAACCAGTTGTTTAATTAATATAAAATGCTCTATTAATATTTAATGAAGAGAGGGAGGGAGGGGGAGGTGATTGCGCATTCTTTTGCTTTTTTGCAAGGACGAAGCAACGATAAAAAAATAAAAAAAAGGCCAAAAGGTATTTAGCACAACAATCAAAAATATTTATAAATTACTGAAAGGAATTTTCATTGTGTAAATTATTTTTAAAAAATGTTTAATTTAAAAGAATTGTTAAAAATTAGAAATAAATTATTAAAAAAATATTTAAATAATATTTTACAAAAGTAATTACAAATAAGAATTAAAGTGAATTCAAGGGAGGGTATGTCAGGGTAGGGTCGGTGCGCAATCCTGTTACAATACAAATCAGAATAAAACAATTAAATTACAAATCAGAAATTAAAAATATAAAATCAGAATTACAAATGTGAAAAGAAATTACAAATATAAATTACAAATCAGAATATTATAAAAATCAGAACTACAAATCAGAATTGCAAATATAAGTTACAAATCAGAATATTATAAAAATCAGAATTAAATAAGTAATATAACAATAAAAACAGAATATAAAATCAGAATTACAAAACTAAAAATTACAAATCAGAATTTAAAAAATAAATTAAAAATTCTAAAAATAAAGACTGCAAAATCAAGTACAAGAACAATAACCAAAAATAAATTTTTATCATTAAAAATAAAATGAAAAAACAGTGAATGAGAGGTTATATTAATGCTACTTAAAAAATGTTATTGTCAATGATAGTCAATTAAATTGGCGATTAGCCGTCACAAGTTTTTTTTTGCAGAACTAAACAACAACCACCTCCCTTCCCTCCCCCCTACCTCCGTCCTTTACAAAAGGAAAAAAATAAAATTCTGTCCTTTTTTGACTGTATTTTTTTATGTTTTATAAAGAGCGTTCACTTCTGACTGCATCATAAACTGGTGGACTTTTTGATGTAAATTGAGAGGAAAAAATATTTTTTGAAAAATAAAAAGTCCGAAAGAAGCACGCGTACAAAGGTTTTGGTTTTTGCTTTTATTTTTATTTATTTTTTTACGTCAAATAAAGATTATTAACCAGAAGTGTAACCAGAAATTAAAAAAGGAAAGAATTATTAAACAAAAATGTAGTGACGACTAGCTGTTTGATTATTAAAAATTGTTTTGTTGGAAAATTAAATTTAAAAAAATCAGAAATTTAATAAAATTGTAGAAAAGGATGTGACAGAGAAATAAATTTGGTGGATTATTTTTAATTTCCGAAAATGTGCCAAAAATCGACTTACACAACAATTAACAGTTTATTAAAAATAGAAAGTAGAGATAGAGCTGGACCTGGACCAAGACCTGGGTTTTTCTGTACCATGAGTCCAGAGTCCAGGCATTTTTTGACCTTCCTGGGGTTCTTCCTGGGCCTTGAGGTTTCCTTGATTACAGGCCCAGGATCCGGCCCAGGTCAATAAATCAAAATCAGAGTCCAGGAACATGTTCAGGCTTTTCAAAAATCTCGATTTCTAATAGAGAGTCATAATGTTGACAAATGTGAATTGGGACAGGAAAAGGCGAAGGAAATCAGGGACAAAACATGCTGGTATGATACAACATGACTGGGTCTTAAACTGACTGTTCTACCTAAATATAGTAGCACCACTACACAACAATTCTGTTTTGTAATAGAGGTCGGCAAAATCGCACTTCTGGGA